CACACACTTCCAGCCCTACTTTGTATGCCTCTTCTCTGGCAGTCCTTGCCATTGGGGCGATCATACCTTTGGGAATTTCAAAGGGAGTCAGGGGTGGAGCGGAAATGGAGTGCCATTTGCCTCTGTGTTCTGTGAGGATTTTCTGAATGGTGTCCATGTTGCTCATTGCAATCAACTACCCTTTATTCGTTGACGTTAAGGAAAAACAGACATTTGAGATATTCATGTCACAAGCGTCGTGTGCCTTTCATGCCTTTTCCTCCAAAGCAGCTATATTGCTGAAGGCCAGATGACACCCTGAGATACACTGCAGTAAATCACAAGCATTTCACCAGTCCCACAGTGCAGAGAGAGCAGAATAAGGCCCTCCCACCCAAGACACAGTATTACTGGGGACATAGCTGGGGACTTCCATTTGTTTGTAATTATGTGCTGGCACTGGGAAAACCCTGAAATCACCATGGTATCTGGGCAACAGATAAAGCTTTTGTTTTCTCACAGACAAAAGGCAGAGCAGGCCAAACCATCACAGATTGTGTGAGCACTGGGAAGTCTGATGAAAGGCAATAAAGAATGTCCAAAGTCAGCAACAAATAATATGGCATCACGAAAGAGAAATCTTAAAGTAGTTAAAAGTGAGGAAGGAGAGAGGGGAAGGGGAGGGAGAGGAGGGGAGGAGTGAGGATGGCTGGGTGCCCAAACCAGTGATACACGGGGTGAGTGCTGCTACGATTCACATGGGAGCAAACCACGTGGGAACTGTGCAGAGCAAGCTGCATAGCTCAGACCTAGTCATCTCCTGCCCACAGAGCATCCCTCTCCAGACTTTATCTCTTGCAACTGAATGACTGGGAAGCCTTGTTTCTCCTTGTCACTTCTCCATTATCTTTTTACATTACTCCACCCCTCCAAGGAACTGAAATACTTTCTGTTAGCCACATCTTGCATATGGTGAAAGAGTTGAATGTGAAATTAGATGATCTGCATTTCTTTACTTGCTTGACAAACCATCCAGCTTCTGGTGTGATGCTTCTCCAACACTCAACGAAGAGATAGAGACTTGCATTCCTTTCATCTTGTATGTTCGATTAAGAACCCAGCAGAGCGCATCTTCGGGCATGAAATCTATCAGGTAGGGACCATGTTTATCATTGTGTGTTTGTGCAACTCCTGCACAGTGGGGCCTTGTCCCAATTATAATAATGATAGACAGAAAATCAGACTGAGAGACAGGATACAAGAGTAGGGGAGTGCAGGGTTGTACAACAGATACATTCTGGAAATGCCCCTGGAATCTCTCTCTTTTCTTGGCAAGACTAGATGTCTGGAGATCCCAGGAGGCACAGAAGGGAACCAAATCTCTCAGTAACAGGTCTGGGGTAGGTTGCTTAGCAGGCAATAATGCAGGTAGGAGAAACACTGGAACAACTAGGCTGAGGAAAGCACTGAAACCAACTGAAAGTTACTAGGAGGACCTTAGGTTTGAATGTAAACAGCACGATGGTAGTTATCTAACCTCTTATGTGGCTCTAGATGTGGCATACGGGGTTTGATTCCTGTTTGCATTCATACTGTTTATATTTGGAAAGAAAGACGTATTTCCTCTCTTTTTGCTCCTTCTTTTCCAAATATTTGGTGCAGAACTATTTTACTGTGCTCTGCCCTGTGGGAAGGTTCTAATTTATAAAATATGGGCCATGCTACGCAGTGGGGCTTGGCATTTGCTCATGTAAGGGGTCTTCCCTTTGCATAGGAATTATATAGCATATTCTAAAGCATTTTAAAGGTCTCTCTGGTACTCAGAGGCAAACAGATAGCGTGTGCTAGATATTAAACTTACATTGGTTTAATATATTGCTGTGGTATTATGTATGGAAGGACTTGGCGATTTGGGTTTTGTTACACCCTCTGAACCACATCCAGAGAGTCCTTTCTTCAGATTTGCTGTTTTTACAGGCAGCGTACAAACATGTTTCACCACAGCCAAAATCTTCTTCCAGGCACTGCAATAAATCATGTGGCGCACTAGGCAGCTGGAAGTGATTGCAGATCTCTGGGGTGGAAGGATTGCACATGTTTTGGAGGGTTCAGTCAGCTACAGCAGCATTTTAAACCTCTGTCCTGTTCTTAAGTTGTGTTCTTCCACCTCTCAACAGGCTGTGCTAGACTTCACCTTCTGTTCAAGCCATGGTGGCCTGGCTTGGGTTTGTTGAAAGTGTAAAGCACCTTCTGGGTTCCACCAGTTCACAGGGCTGGTGGGACTGGCTTCAGCTCTCTGCTGGCAGGCAGAAGGAAGCAATAGCGGGTCACCATTTTTTCTCAACAGCATCTATGCTGAAGAACTGAGGCTGTAAAGAGAGGTGGTGGGAGGCATGTGAGCTGAGGACACACTGATGTGCCAAAGGGTGGTGCTGTGGGTGGCAGGAGAAGACAGATCCGGCTTTACAGATGGGAATGAGCCCAAGAGCATAAGCCAAGCAGCTCAGCCGCAGCAGTCAGGCAGCTCCTTTCCAAAAGGACCCTGCATCCTGCTCTGATACAGTGGCTGCAAGGAATAGAAAGGAGATGTCCTACCACCTCTTTCAAAGACTGAAAATGGATGACTGGCTCTTTCCAGAGAGCACCAACAAGGATGAAGGAACAGGAAGCAGGAAGGTGCTGATGACTGACAGACTGTCAGATGGTTTTAGATCACCAAGACTTGCCATTTGAGCTGTTACAACTGGGATTTAGAGGAAAGAAGAGGCCCCCAAAGAACCAACAGAATAAATGAAGGACAAATAAGGGCCAGGACAAAAAGGAACAAAGGAAGAAACTCAGAGAGTTCCTACAAGAGAACCACCAATGTGAGCATTCCTACCAGAGGGGACCTATGTGAGCAGACCACCCTTCCAGAATCAGGAGTTATATGGGCCAGGAACAGGGCTGCAGCCTTCTCTCTTTTACATGCCTCTGCCCCCCAGCTGGAAGGCAACCTTCATGACCAGAAATAGAGGTCTTTTGCCCTAAATCTGTCTCCTGTGTAACAGCAGGAGCCATCCTCAGCCTGGATCTGAGCAGAGCTGGGATGGCTGATGATGTACTGGTGTTACTAATCACAGACAGGCTGGGGAATGCTCCCTTGAAACCAGCACTTTCTGTGTATGAATTTGAGACCATAAGGATCGTTAGCTCATCTAGTCTGACCCTATGGTAATAGAGGCAAGACAATTTCACCCTCTGTCCCCTGACAGCCCAGAAAGCAGTATGTGGCTAACGCCACAATGGCAGCCCCCCTCTGAAGACATAGGAGGGATCAGGGCTTTCCCCCCTCTCTTGGAAAATGTGTTCCAAAGGCTAATCAGTTCCACACTTAGAAATCTGTTTCCAGTTTAAATTTCTCTGGCTTCAGTTTCTAGACCTTGGGGTTTTTTGTGGTTTGGGGTGTTTTTTTAATTATTATTTATTTATTTATTTATTTTGCCTTTGCTAATCTCAAAGCTACATATTTGTTTAGTCTGAGGGGCTCTCAGGATAACTTCAGAGCAAGTAGCTTTATAAAACAGGGAGGTGCTCACCAGAACCTAGGACTGGCCCCCATCATGGAGCATCACAGCAGCTCCTAGGTAACATTCTGAGTGGTAACATCCTCAGCTGGTTCCAAGAAGCAGAGGCATTTACCATTCTGTCTTCTGACCTATACCATGCCAGTGCTTAATAAATCCAGCTCATAATCAATGTCAGGATGGCTGAGGCCATGAATGCAGCTGATTTCCTTCAGCTTGCTAATATTGGAAAGCTGCCTATGAAGAGAGCCAGATGTGCTAATAAGGGGGTTCACCTCTAATTCTTAGGCAGTTCATGGATACACAGCCGTGATGCTTTGCTGAGGAAATAAGAACCAAAATGTTCACATTCAAGATAAAAGATGTGATGAAAGGCACAGCAAAGTTCTCCACAGAACATGGGGCCTTTCCTTAATATTAATGTATAATTTTGTAGCTAATTACTCCCAGTGTATTTCCCAATGGCCTGGGAACCTCTCACTGACCATCTGCACTCACAATTACCTACTCAGTTTTTCAGAATCTCTTACTAAATCATTGCTGGATTTGCAAAGGGATCATTTGTCATCCAAGTTACCTTTTTCCATTTTTTGCTTGTCTTTCTCTTTGCATCAATTTGGCCAAGAAATATTTATTGGAGAAGAAGCTTGGTGAGACTCAAGCAATTTCACTGTTATGAAGTATTAAATTATCCCTAACCTTTTCTCCCGCCAAAGCTGCACATGGTGCGGGGATTTACTGTGTTGTTCCAGTGTAAGAATGGAAAAGGAGTGGCATGTTGGAACAGGGCATTGTGGAAGGAGCAGGGTGACACAAGAAAACACCTTCCACCTGCCATGGGGACTCAGAAATGAGGGGAGGCACTGACAAAACCCAGTTTCCAACTCATGGTTTTGAAACTCACAGCAAATTCCCTACAACATTGTCCAAGTTAGGATTGTACCGCCAGGATCTCAGGCCAGTCCTACAAGCCTCTGTAACCATTTCCCACCTTCAAACTGAAGGTGCTGAGTCCTCGGAAAACCAACCCCAAGAGCATCCCCTGTCACCCCTTGGGCTCTTCAGGGAAAGTCTTATCCCTTCCCCAGCAGATGACTATGGCATCCTTGTTGTTGGAGTAAAAACAGCTTTCCAGTGCCACTGAAGTCAACCTGCTGCAGGAGAAAAGCCTTAAGGGCTAAAAAAAGACTAAAAACCCAAAAGGTTGGGCTTCTGTTTTGGGAGGAAATGGTTAAGCTTTTCCTTTTTAAGACAGCACATTTCAATCTCCTAGGCTGCTGCTCCATGTCAAACCCTATCGGCACTTTGCCTAAGGTTCACTGCAGAGTCTGAGCCCATAAGGCTACATGGAAGCATCCTAGAAACTGGCGACTTAAACTACACCAGAAGCTTTTTACTGGTGTGGAGCTTTTAGCTGTTTGTATGTGAGGACAAAAAAAAATTAGAAACAAGTAATAATTTCATTTAGATAGACATTTTTATTAAGAAAATTTTAAGTGCATACACATTTATAGGAGAAATTATGACAATATAGAAGTGTTTATCTTCAAAATATTCTATGAAAGGAGTAATTTCAAAAGCATAATATAACTCCTCCATAAAAGCTGCCTTACAGGAACACAAATACAAAACCCTTTTCACATTATTTGGGAAGATATTGCTTTTTACTGAGTAAAAATATAAAGTACAGTATTTACCACATTCTGACAACACTGAGTTCTTAAGGAGTGGAAGATGGGAGGTTCATGCAGCCCTTTCATCATGATATATGTTTTCTTCTCTGTGGCTACCAGAGTTTCATGTTTGCAGATAAGATCTGTCTTGGTGGGATTGGTAAAGAAAAAGAATATCAGATTTCAGGTGACAAGTTCTCAGAAACCCCTGGTTAGTATAAATGACATCACACAAAACAAGTTGCCAGAGAAAAGAAGGACCCTCTAGATGCTAAAAAAGGGAAAATAGCAAGAAAAACTTCTATAGGAACTGCATTTTCAATGAAATGTGTATATTTAACTTCAAATATAGCCTTCATTGCAAAATGAGCAGTCAACTTTGCTCAAACACCTTAGTTAAAAACACATCAGAGAGTCACACTTCATCCTTCCTCAGGCAGAATTCAGATAAGATATCGATACGGACAAGTATAAAGCTAGTATAAATAAATTGGCACAGCAATAAATACCATCTAGTCTTAAAGAAAAAAAAATATTAAAATCCAACCTTAGGATTTGACAGCTGCCCTCTGAAAATACCACATGTGATGATTTCACATTTATGGAAGCTGCTTTTTCAGCACAGTTCAGTGTTATCTCTTTTCTTGCATTCTCCTCATGTGTGGTCCCTACATCACTCCCATCTCCCTATCCTTTCTTCTCCTGATTTGGTCTTTGGTCAACAGTTAAAGGCAAAAAGGAAAATCAGGTGTTCTCCCCAAGCAGGTTTCTGCTAGTGCTGCTTCTCAGCCTGCTATTACCATGGTGTGCACACGAGGAACAGCGTGAGATGCACTGGATAGTGCAGGGAGCTTGAGGCAGCAAAGTACGAACTGCACAACTGCTCTTCTAATGCACCATGCAAATAATGTCAGGCAAAGAATAAAGCTTCCCACTCAAGGCTGAAATTTGGTCTAAAGCAAGAGAAAGGTTTTTCAGGTTCTCACTGAAGTATTCCTCCAGTTCTGTACCACCCCTGCATTCATGCTGTGCTCAACCTTTTTCAGGCAAGGGAAGAACATGGTGGTGGTACCCAAAAGCAGCCCCATGCCCTGGGTGGTCTCAGCGACACAAGTAGGGAACTGTCACCAGCAGTGTCAGGGCCCAGGTAACTGTGTGTCACAAGAAATGCCAGAGGCAGACAGCCAGCACCTGGCTGTCAAAGTTCCCTAGCCTTGCAGGGAGTCCCTTTCATTCCTGCTGCTACTCATGCATTGCTCCCAGGACTGCCTATTTCAATGCTTCTGTTAAAGCAGTCTGCATGCCCAGACTGTAATGTGGGGTTGGTATGTGCCCGGAGACCTTTCCCTACTGGTGCTGACCTCAGATGCAGTACCCATTAAGCAGGACTGCAGCATTGCTCTGGCAAGGCTGTCCAGTCACATCCACCCACCCCACCTTTCCACTGGAAAGACATTTCACCTTGAAAAGGAATCTTCATGGCTTCAATCATCATTAACAAGGTATGCTGTTGAATCAAAATCAGAGGATTATTCAATTCTCTGTTTACTCTGATGGGAATTAATCAGACCTCGAGCTGTCCTTTGATGGGAAGCATGTGTGAAGACTGCAGCTTCTGGGGTGAAGGGAGAAGCTCCATGTCTGTGTCAGAACCAAGATTCTTCCTCACTTTCCCTGAAGTCATTCTTGGCTTTGACATTCACATGTCCACCTCTGGCAAACCACCAGCAATTGCAGGGGCATGTGTGGGGACAGAAGATAAACCTTAGGATATAAAGCACAGACCAGGGAAGATACAAGAAACTCTAGTTTTCTCATAGAAGTTCTTTCTGTCTTTACTCTTAACAACAGATAAACCTACTCACATTAAATCAACACTCCAATTCTCATCAAGTACAGTGGTCCCAGACCTTTCAAAACAGAGACACAATATACTTACAGCACCAGATTGGTAATAATAACAATAGAAGGAATGTCAAAATCTCACATACATACATACATTTTAGGCACAGCAGTTGGTTTCTACTTTAAAACAAATGAGGTGATGTTGTCCCAGCTGAAGCACTCTCTGTAATAGCACTGTTTTGCAGAGAAAAATATACAAGATTTTTACCTGAATACACTCAGAAGTAGGATAGTCCCTGGCTTGCCAAAGTGCCTGTTTGACACTGAAGATGCCTGCCACAAAAAGGAGTGCTTAGTGAAACATCCCTCTCAGTGTTCCTGAGAGGCTGCACGGAAAATTCCTTTTGAAGCAACCAGCTCAAAAAACATACAATCTCACAACATTTTTTTGTTTACAATACACACACAGGTACATACAAATGCAACTACTGTGCTGCACAAATGTGCTTCCCCCAGATCCCAGTGTGCAGCATCGTGTGATTATCACAGTACTGCAAGTGTCTTTCCTTACTTTATACTGCAAAGATATTGCGTATACAGGTAGGAATTGGGAGGAAGAGATTTCTGGGTGAGAGAGAGGATTGTTGCGTAAAATGGTGCCTGTCCCCACAGGTACTTTGCAAAGGAAATTCCAGACTATCCTGTTCACCAGCAAACAAGACTATGACCACTGGTGAACAGTGAGTGTTGGCCTTCATTTCCACACCTGAGAAACACCACTCCTTCCACAAATTGGGCCGACCCTCTCTTGCCCCAGGCATCTCTTTTCTCCACAGGTGTGGCCAGACATCGTCTTCTAGGTATCTCCGGAGGAATCAAAGGTGTTACTGCTCTCAGGAACCTGTGACTGTTCAGTAACCAAGGCTACAACATCATTGGTGAAGGGTTATATGAATGCATCTCTGCCTACTTCAGTGCAAATCTAGCCAGGAGAGCTGAAGCCACCTCTTGTAGATGGGTGGGAAGAGATACCTGGTCCATGGCAGCGTGTCTGACTCCTCAAGCAACTTACATCATGATCATGTGGTTAGACCTAGAATAACCCATGTCTTTTATGCTAAAATTTGTCATCAGAAACACAGGAACATAGGAAATGCCAGGTGACATCAGATCAGTGTTGTGGCTCCTAGCACATACAACTGCAAACCAAGTACTAGCACCTTGCAATACCAGAGGAGCACTAACCTAGCTGCTCATAGCTGTCATCAAGGTCTCTGATCTTCAGAGAAGGGCTTTAGCCCTGCAGCCCTCAGTTTAGTCTCTCACCCCAAATACCTATAAATGTCACGCATGGTGATACTGCCCACTTTCATCAGCGTCTGGTGGTTAGCCTTCCTATGTTCTTGGCCTTGATGACTTCTGGAGGCAAGGAGTTCCTTCATTACTTACACAACATCATTGCACTGTACAGTTCATGTCCTTCTAGGTTTAAAACTCCAGGAGACTTGCATGAACCCAAAGAAAGTTAAATAAAGCACGACCTCTACATAGCAAAGGTAATAAAATATTATATAATAACATAGGGTTAGTTTGAATTCATATATGCCCTCAGTGCTAGGTAATAAACCAACCTCTATAAAAACTATTTCTCTTGAATAGTTACATCTTATTATATAAAAATAGCACTGTGAAAGGAAGCCAATTTTTGGGTGGGAAAAATAAAATCACCAAAAAGCCCCCCAAACAACCCCAAACAAAAAGAAACAACTTTTGGAAATGCATCAAGCGTTGCTTTTGTGCTGCATCATAACAGTGAAATGTATTCATTCCCTAATACTGGTTATCTGCTCTCTGGGTCCTACAGTAAGAAATCCTGTAGACGGCTTACAATGCTTGCCTCTTACATCTTGAACCTCCTGTTGATGAAGAACAGAGTGAAACACTATTAAGGTTGATTTTAGTTGCAAAAGCTTTGATATCAGGCCTAGTCAAACAGCAAATCTGTGCCTGGACTAACCCAAAGGCATTTATTTTGCAGCCCCTCCAAACAGTAGTTGCTGAACATTTTTGGGGAAGTTCTCCACAAGGAGCTACTGGGACACAGCAGGGTAGACCCAGCAATGCGAGTTATTTTGGGCAGATTGTGCTCATCACAGTTAGTAAGGTGTTCAGATTTAACACAGGAGGAAGGCTAGCTAGGAAGCTTATTCTGGACTTGAAAGCCAGAGCAGAGAATTATCGATGGGCAAAGAGAATTGGCAAAAAACACCAGCAGGGAAAGGAGGGATTAATCATTTGTGAGCAGCCCCAGTAGTGGAGCAAGTAGCACTGGGAATGCTCCTTCTACCTCCCCCTGCCCCACAGCTCTGCTGGAGATTCATGAACTGAAGCTCCACAGGGTTCCAGATCTCTGTGAGGATGAAGGAACACAGAGGACAGTTCATGCTTTGCTCTTGGTGTTCAGCTCCTCCCATGGAGTGGCTGGAGAGCAGATCCCATGAGTGCTGCTCAGCCAGGAGCCATCACTGTGGCCACCCTGCCCTGGGACCTCACCTGTGTTGAGCAGCTGGGCAGCATGTCACAGCTCATGGTGACCAGCTGCCCAGTGCAGGTGGGGTGACAGGGTGGGTGAGCAGCACAGTAAATGTGTGAGGCATTAAGTGCAGAGGTAGGGAGCTCAGGGTAGGAGGCAGACAAATGGAGTTGCCCATACTCGGTGTAAGCATGGTACCCAGGGGGAGTAGTGGGTTAGGCATCACAGTAAGTGCAGGTCTATTGTGTGCAGGATTCACTCAGAACAAGGAGCCAGTCCCTGCTGGTGGACTCCAGGTTTTGTCTGAAGTGACTCCTACTCCTGCTCCAGGCTGATTGGCTTTCGCCATCTAGAAGTGGTCACTAAGCCTGAATTACAAGTGTCAGAGACCAAGTATTTAAAAACTAAAAACCCTGGTGTTCAGAATGTCTTGTCTAGCGTACAGGATCAGCACAAACATCCTTTTCAATGTCTGCTGGACAAGTATGATAGTGTGCTAACAACCAGAGACAGTTGTGGCTACTCTCAGTAAAGGTAGTCCCAGAAAAATCATCCAGACATAAAAAAGATGAGTAAGGCACAAGCAAAATTTTCCTCTTTGAAGATATCTTTTCCAATATTCCACACAGGTACCCCTGTTTCTTTTGGTGCAGAAAAGCAGGACAAACCATCCTGGTGGGAAAAAAGCAAATGAGTCATCCAGAGCTCTGGCATAAATAAAACCATTCTCTGGGACTTGCCATAGAAGAGGTGTCAACCAGTAACTACTGCACCAAATTGGGTTGCCGTTACTCAGTACTGCATTTCTCATTAAAAAAACATCAGTGACAAATTCACAACTGTTATTTATAGTTTAACTCTATCAGTTTCGTATTGAAGGAATATGGCCAGCTAAAAGAAATAGGGCGTTCAAACCTTTACCCTGTTTTAGACTCTATCTTTGTTTCAGGGTTATTTTGGCCTCTTTGGGTGTCCATTTTCCCATCTATAAAATGGGGAAAAAAATTCCCACCTCTGTAATGGCTGAACTTTCTCACTGTTTTAGGAGTTTTATCTATACAAAAGTCCTTTGCAGGGAGGGTACAGGTGTTATCCTCAACAAATATGGGAAAAATGGAGGTCTGGATAAACTAATATATTTGCTCAATGTCACATAGGATGGTCAATGGAAGAGCAGGGACTCAAACCTGAGGTACCCCAGCTCAGAAACTAATGCCTCCTACCATTCTTTCTCCCTGGAGACTTTAGTGGTGTTGTTCGGGAAGGGCAGAGTGGGCCCCGTTTCTTCTGTTGCTTTTTTTTATGAGTGCGATGACGTGGTCTAAATTAAAAGAAAAATACAAAAAGACTGCCATAAATTATCCACATACAAAGGCCTTATTCACATTTATTCTATGGCCCCATCACACCTTGCTGGCAGGGTGCAAACAATTATAACATCCCCTTTCATATAACCTTGCCTCAGAGGAAACACTACACAAATGAAAGTGCCCTGGTGACAGGACATTCAATTCTCAGGCCAGAACCATGCTTTTCCCCAAAACACCAAAGCCTCCCCCATTTCCTGCTAGATATGGTCAGCCAGGAAACTCACCATCCACATGGTACTTGCTGAGGTACAATGAAAGCAGAGGGGGTCTGGATTTTTTACTTCCCCCCCAGCATTCCCACTGATAACAACAAGAACTGGTGGCTACTCAGCAGGATTAAGACAAGGCTATAAAGATAGTCACCTATATTGTCTCCCACTGTGTGAGTTGTCCACCCAGCAGACACTTGGTGTAGCAGTTGTTTTGGCATCTTCAGCCCTTATTTACAGATAAGCTCAGAAATTAGGAAGAGCTGCCACACCAGTGCTTACAGAGACTATGAAGGAAGGCAGTAGCAGCACTTGGCTCCTATTGCAACCAGCTTCTAGAAGCTGGGAGTTTCTATTCTCCCAGAGAGCTCAAGGGAAAGGTTTTTCCTATCTGAGTTTGTTATCTTCTCCAGATCCATCAGCTCTCTTGTCTGTGCCAAGGGTAGGCACTGAGCTTAATGGACTCCAGCATCTTGGACAGAGGGAAGTTTTAAGGTGGGACTATATTAACTCAACAGGAGACAACTTTGTCTCTTTATTTTAGGCTCTGTTCTCTCTGCAAGGGCCTGATTTTGCATATCCTTGTGTGAAGGGAGAAGGAAAAGACAGTTGATGTACAGTAAATGATGACTGGGATTGTATGGAAGTGATAAAGGATTTGTTAGCTATTTCAAGGAAGGACTGATTTGCCCCTTGCTTATAAAATGGATGAATGTTGAAATGATGTTGGCCACAGCAGCTGCACAATGATTTTTAAAGCCAGTTAAGGAATTTGTATTCCTGACAGCCTGAATGTATTTTACTGATGTTGAATAAGTGTGTATATTACATGGAGATGTGATGAATATAAAGCGATAATAAAGGCTAAGCTGAATTAGTGAGTAAAAAAATTTCATACTAAAAACCATCTCTGGTTTCACAATCTATTGTATCGGACTACCATATTCTATGAAGTTTTCCTTTACTTTAGCTGCAGATTATAACACAGAAGATACTCTTCTATTGAAGCACTGATATAGATTAGGATGTCTTGACAGTTTAGATTTTACTTAAGCAATTACAAGAGCCCTTTCTACAAAAAGTATTGCTTTTATTCCAGAAAAATAAATTCCCATGTACAATTGGGTTTTGATAACGCGAAACAATTAGCCATTTTATTGCTAGTGCATATAGGGTAACGTCACATTTCATACAATTTCAGTACAAGTGAAAAAATATAATATATGGCTGATTGAAATTGATAGCTACATTAACATTTATAGATCTATATAGATTTATTTTACAAGCTGTTAGTAGTTTAGAGGGATATCGGTGTTTTAAACTACCAACATTCATATGGCTCCAATTCAAATATATGAATTGTTTGATGTGCTATAAATATATTCCAAAGTACATTTCATTGAAGAAGTCAAAGCTGTGCACTAAAATATATCAAAAACATGCCTTGTGAAAATCCTACAGACAGAGCCCTCACTGTCTGTGAAGCATGAAAATGCCACTGGTGCTTGCATTACTAGTTGGAAAACAAAAATAATGCCATGATTACAGGATTAGGTGATGGAGATATATGCTTTCTGTCATCTTATTTCATAGAGCTGGGACCAAAATCTCTTCTGTTACTTAATGTAAACCAGGACATAATCCACCAAATTAGCAGAATTGCTTCTGGATTAGTGTTAGATAAACAAAACCCAGAATCCGGCTGGAGATCAGGCACAGGCTCACTGGTTTCAGTAGAGCTGGCCCAAAATCTTCTCTACTGGAAGTGAGAGCAGGATGTGTTCCAGCTGACTTATTCCCCTAAATCGGGCAGGCAGGATATGAGCACATAAACCCATTTGCCCAACCCTACAAATTTTAAGTGCCTCCTAAATTTTAGGTCTTATTAACAGCACAAAGGGCTCCACTGGGGACGACAGCAAGCAGATATCTAGGCAGGGACTTGAGGATTTCCTGAAGTTGGAAAACAAAGTTGCTCAAGCCCCTAGGACAGTCAGCATGGAGGATATCCTGCTCTTCGGTTCAGTTATGCCTAAATACAAAGCCATCCTGGCATCATGAACCTGGATTACCACTACAGAGAATATGACCAAAAGACAAGAGGACTGAGTACTGGCAGCAAAGAAGGCACTGAGCATCAGATGAGATGGGAAGAGCTGTCAGGGCTGGAATCACAGTAAGTTTTTTAGCTAGCTTCCTTCCCTCCTCCTCCTCACTCTTGGCCCCACTGTGGTCCCAAAAGGGCCACATGGAGGAATCTCTCTGTTTCTGGTATCATTTTTCCCATTGCTTATTTTAAGAACACACGGGAACAAAGAGCTAGGGTTTTTTTAACTACACCTTGTTTGGCAGATACCTTTACAAAGTGAACAGTGAAGGGCATTCAGCTGCCTGTACAGCCTCACATCTGCCCTGGGGCCATACCCAGGCACATTTCTCCGAGAAAGCAGTGCCTTTGCAAATGACTGGATTCCAGCCCTGCCTTTACCCTATAGCTGCAGGGGGACAAGGTTGAGCAGGGTTACAGCATGGTTACTGAGGGTGGGAATATGGTCACAAGGGTGGGAGGGATACTGAGTGCACAGGTAGGTTTGCTGGCCAAAATGCCACTGCTGGATCAACAACAGCCTGGGACACAGGGTAAGCAACAAAATGCTTTGTACCATTACTTGTCTCATCTTCCATCCCAGGAAGCCTGGAGCCCTCCCCTGCTCACAGAAATGTTCTGTGTGCTGCTAACCGTGAAACTGAGCTGAGATAGGCTGAGTCCACCTCAGAGTAGTCATGATCAGCCACTTTCAAGGGGAATAAAAATAGATTTTAAAAGTCTGAATTTGCCAAGTATCGCTGGTTTTCCCCTGGCCTCGTGTGAGAGCATTATTCATGGCAGTGCATCTCACCTTGGCTGATATTAGTAGCACTCCACACTGGCCAGCAGAGAAACAATCTATAGAGCCAAGACCCCTTATGCCTCAGCTGCCTGTGCAAACAGACCCCCAGTGTAACATGGAGAAGGGGGTCAAAAGAAACTGGAACAATATAGATTCTAAAGTAACTGTAGTTTGGCTTGGGGAAACATTTTCCTTGGGAGAACGGCTTTTCTTTAAAAGAAGATGAGTTGGGGACCCCAGAACAGATTCATTAGGAGAAATTTTGCCTCAAACCTTGGCAAAACTCTTATTTTAACATTTAGAATATGCTATAAGATGTTGTTTTAATACAGACTAGGTCAACTCCAAACCCTTCTTCAAAACAGTATCTGATTCCACGAGTATTTTGTCCACATGGTGAAAGCCAGCCCTTAATGTTCTACCCTTTAATAACTCAGGATGTTAGCTGTTAAGTCCATTTGTCTCTTGCCTTACTTGTTTAAAGCTTTCTCCAGATATTCCTGGATCCACTTTAACTTGGGATCAATGCACACTTGCTTGCTGTTGCTCTTGAGCCTCGCACTGTAAAGGAGAAAAGTCAGAGTGAGCCCAGTGGACAACTGCTCCTCAGCCTGCACTCACCAGCCACCCACCTCCCTAATGTCTTGTTTTCCTTGGGTGTCAATACTGCTCTCAGTTAACCCATGAAGAGAATGTGTTATTCCTGCCATCCTCGAGGCACCTATTACAAGTATACCTGGTTTCAAAACACTGGTACCATCTGTCTCCTCTGATGATGATTCTTGTGGTCTGCACTAGGATGCATGTGGGGTTGGCACAGACATAGAATTTGAATCAAAGTTTTCCAATTCATACCTGGGGTGTTAGGAGTTCAGTGCTGACAATGGCTAAGCTTCATTTGGAAATACTGACATGGTAAATGTGGGTCATTTTTGGAAGGAATTAGGAACAGCTTTCAGATTCCACACAAAAGTAGAACTTCACACGTTTTGAAGACAGACACCAAACCATACCTCCTGGATGTTCTGAAAGGGTAACTCTGCTTTTTGTTTTATACAAGACTGAACAAACAGGTTGCAGGCAGGAAGACAACTGAAAGTACCATAGTGCCAGAGGCAAGTTTTCTCTTAGCACTGGAAACAAAAGCAGAAACCTCCTGAGGGTTTTCTCCTGGATGAACAAGCTCTACTTTCCACACCAGTCTCTTCAGCTAATCTAAATTCCCTGTGAATTTGGCATTTGTGCTATCTGCATGTTTCATACAGAAGCAGTACAAGTAGCTCTTCACCCGCATCAGCAGGTCTTACCCTCCAGGGATCTCAAGGCCTCTTGAGAGTGCTGTGATCTCCCATGTTTCCAGAAGTACCCTGCCTCTGCCCCAGCTGCTCAGAAGTTCCCCCTTAAGCAGCCTGCCTGCCATGCAAAAGTGCCAAAACAGCAATTTCATGGAAATGCCCATAGGAATAAGTTCAGTACTGGTTTAAGCATTTTGCTGGATGGAAGCCAAAATGTTTCCTGCTTTATAAAATGAAATCTGTTGAATATAAAACTACAGAGTAAGAAATAACAGGTCAAAAATGCTCCTTGGTCTGAAGTTATGCAACAACACAGTTGTAACATAAACACATAGAAGATGCAGTCTTGCAAACCTTGTGCCAATAAAGAGATGAATGGGCCTAATTCATATTTTCCTTACAGCAATGCCAAGCTGGAATATTTCCAGTGAAGTGATACCAACAGAGAGTAAGAATGGATTTGCTGATGTTAGCAATGCCTGGGAACTCTTGAGCTGGCCTCATAGAATACAGAACCGAAAGCATGTGTAACCAGCCTCCAGCCACCATTCCAGAGGAATGCAATGCAATTCATCTCACCTAATATTAAGACATTGATTTTAATTTTTTTTTTTTTGACAGTTGTTTCTGAGCCTATCGGCCCATCCTCCTTTTAGTCACAGCAGAGACCAAGGTTTTTGTATAGAGTGTTGATCTGAACTGGTCTAGGTGTCTGCTTTAGGATGCAATTAATTGCATGTTAAAAGTACTTATTTCCTTGTACCAACAAACAAGGAATTTAGGGTGGGCTTTGTGACAGTAGACACTGACAGAGGATATTTGAGTTTGGAGAGATGACTTCCAATAGAAGAAAAGACAAAAGCCTGCTCTTAGGCTTTTTGCTCAGGTAGAATTTTGCTCAACTATAAAGGGGAGTGCAAAAAAACAGTCTTTCCTTGAAACGATATGATTTCACTGAGATTCTCTATTCCTGAAAATGGTATCTGTTAAGTTACTTACATCTCCACTGTACAATGCATGTTGACTACATTCAAAGTGTGCTTAAAACCATCAAGATGAGAAATTTATGTTAGTTTTGATTCTATTTCAGCTTCTGTTTCAATAAAGACCTAGTTTGCACTCAGGATGTTTCTGGGTAAAAACTTTATTTTTCAAACTAACAAAGAGGTGGTGAACAACAGGTTCATGTGTTTCATGTGCCATAAATCACATTGAAAACAAATATATTTGGGTCAGGAATGGACAAGAACATGAGCTGGTTTATGCTGTTATCTATCTGCAATAACTATAATCCCATCTTAATTAAGAGATAAATGTACTCTACCCTTGTCTTTCTTGAAACTACTCCAGAAAATTCCAAATCCTCTATAAAGGCTTAGCGCTGGGACCCTGATGATATTCACTGAAGTCCCAGAGCACAAATCCATACACTACAGTATTTTGGATGCTTGCCTCCAAAATTGTTTATAGGTAGAGAGCAGAGTTAGTAACAGCTGGTTTTGTCATTTCTGTGAAAAGAAATTATTTCTCAGCTGAGGCTTACATTTTTCTCACTGTCCCCCACCAAATCCTAAGGCAGATGTATGCATGAGAAAATGTATATGACCTACCCAGAGTGGTTCAAACAAGAAAAAAAACATATGAATGAAAACCAGTTCGTGGACAGATACATGCCCTTCAATATATCCGTACATTCCTAACAAATCTCGTGAAACCACATCAGTTTTCTAAGTGCAGAAATGATGAAAAAGGGCGGATATCTACAGCATCTCAGTTGAAAATGGAAGAGCTCGGCATGGATCGAAGAGAGAACTAGTAATGGGAGCACTGCACAGAAACCCATTCTAGTCACTGAGACCCTCCTACAAAGATCAACGGGAGTTGACAGTAATAAGGCTCCCTTGCAGTGAAAAGATGAGTGCTATTTTTTTTTTTTCCTTTTAAAGATTTTGCATTCTGTGAGGGGAGGGAGGGGGTCACCAATGAACAAATGAACCAAAAAAGACTTTCCTTAAAACATGCACACACAAATCTACAACCCGATTTTTTCCTGAAAATCAGTGGGTTGACTGGTTTGGGGTTTTGTTTTGTTTTGTTTCAGAAAAAAATGAAGAGGTCATTTTCTATTTGGAACCCATCATTTCTGGCATGATGTGATCTGTCATTTACCAGAGACAGTCACTGCCTGGTAAGAATGTCCCTAGATAGGCCAGCATATGTTTAGACTTTGTAACTCCTGTGGAAACTGCATGAAAGCCAGAAATTCCTTTTGCTTGTTTATCTCTTCTCTTTAGAGAAGTGGAGCATTAGAAGACTAATACCACTGTAAAGCCTTTTCTCCGAAGTGTGAAGCTCCACATCCAAAGGCAATGGACAGCCTCTCTGACATTCCTGCTCACATACCCATGGGGGAACAGTACATGGGATCACATCGTCATAGGAAGATCACAGAGGTAGAACACAGCTGGGAAAAATCTACCTGGGCATCTTTGTGTGTGGGAAAGCAGGGGCCAGCTGTGTCTGACACATGGAGTGAAGAGATGAATTGGAAAGAATGGCATGAGACAGACCAAATTGCAGCCATCAAAGCAGGAGCCAGCTCTGTTACTCTTCTTTTTAACACCTGAGATTTGCACCCAGCTGAAAAGGGTAAGAGACTTACACAATCTGAAGTGAGCAGTTGGGTGTGGAGAGGATTTTGAGGTGCTTAATGTTGGCTCTTGCCACGTTGCTCTCGTAGAATCGACAGGGGCATCGGTAAGTCAGGCTGACCGGTTTCTCTGTGGGACACGGAGAGAAAGGACACGTTACTCCCTCTTGCTCCCGGTCAGCAGCACAGATACACGGAGCAGGGCTGACAGAAACGCCTTTCAAAAATGCAGGTGAAAAAAAGCAATAGAAAAGCTGTAGTATTGTGGGAGCATTTGCCCACAGCTCACAGCACAATCCTTTTACCCCAGTACCCAGCCTTTCAATAATAGTGCGTGGGATTTTGGAAGACAAAAGAAGAGGGAAAGAAAATGAAGATAAGTAAATAAGAAGAGATTGGAATAAAGAGCCGCTCCATTGTGCGGGGATGCTCCTGGTAATTAGACAAGATAAAGGCCAAAAGAGGGGGCACTTGTCTTCAGTGCTGTTCTTGTCAAACGATTTTGACCCGAGGCCAAATTAGAAGGTAGCCAGAAGAAAGCGACGAATTCCAAAGAGTTCAGATCAAAACAGCTCGGCTCAGGTGCAGGCTTTTCAGGGAGGATTTACTGGCTACAGAAAAGCTCTGAGTCTTTTAGGCTTTCCCAGGGCCCAGGACTGACCCTTCCCCACTACAGCCAAACTTTACTCCCAGACAGAGATACTCGCACAAAGAGGTGCGACTCAGAGACGGAGATCACAGCAGGCTTCGCAGGAGAGATCTGGAGTCTTCTGAGCACCCCACCTGTGGCAAAGTAACGGCAATCGAAAAGACAGGGACCGGGCAAGGTGGGCTCCACCCGAATGGATGGGAGTTTTGTCACCGGCATCACTATGGACAGATTTAAGTGTAGCCTCCCAGGCTAAAAGTCAGCCATGTATACACATGCAGAGAAAAGCAGCCTGGCACTCACCACAGCCTCTGATGAAGCCCTGCTACCCAGTTCTCCATGGGAGAACTTAATTACTGGCAAACAAGTGCACATAAATAAGGTCCTTATTCTGTGTGTAAGCTTCGAAGCTCCATGAACACTAAAATACAAACACAGAAGCCTTGCCTGGAAGCCTAGAAAGAGCTGCTAAGATTTTAAACAATTTCCCAGTGGAACACTTTCAACCTCTGGGAGGAATTAAGTTCATACACCTAATCCATAAGGTCTGGTTTATGCTGTAGATGGTCAGATCTATATCTGATAGGGCTTTAGATCCTACATGGCAATCTGCCACCCTGTTTATTTAGCCACACAGAAGCACTCCCAGCATCCAAACCCAGATAGCTTAAAGGCAGATGGAGATCTAAAGAGCAGGGAAAGGCTTGGAATCCCTCAACTGCCATCTAGGAAGGTGAGAAAAGAGACAGCTTTTCAAAGTGCAGCAGATCTGCGTTCATTGCATATTTAACAGTGCCTGTCTGTAGCACATATAACCCCAGAAAACACGGTGAAATCACCCTGTCCTAAGGAGGGAACCCTTTTTTTTTTCAGTTGCCTCAACCAAGACATGAGCCAGAATCAGATCCCACAGGCAGATGGGCAGACAGAGGAATCCGTGGGAGCAGAGTTGCTCCAGATTCACATCAGGATCTAGACTGAAAGGTAACAAAATTGGAGCACTTTTTATACCAGTTTTATGGCAGTCCAAACAGTGATATCATCTATGAGTTAATAAATGAGAAGAGAATCTCCCATCTGCAGGGGAAGAGGAAGAAGGGCTGCAGAGTAAGCCTCTGAACATGCATTAGGCTGACTAGTGCTAATGTGGAAGGGAGGGAGAAAACCGCTAGGGTTTTCCACTGCAGTTATGTGCCTCACAGCTGCACATCAGTGTGTTTGTACTGGAAAGGGAGGCTGAAACTGAATGCAGTCATAGAACAGCATTCATCACGGCTGCGGTGGAAACGTCTCTGCAAGCTTGTACCAAGTTTAAGCAAGCTTTATCCTAAACAGCAGTGAGAGATGAACTGTTCAGATCTATGATTTGAGAATACAATTCTGTCCTTTCTGAGACTGGAAGAGGGACTTTTGATCCTGTAACACTTGAAACCAGGAGCAGAGAAAGCTTAACTGTGACTAACATGTCCTTGAGTCCCAAAGCTGTTTCGTGCCCAAGAAAGAGCATCCATCACAGCAAGCAAGAAGGGGAAGCATTTGATGTTCTGCTATCTCAATGCAAGGTGGAATGACGACTGCCTTCCCAGCACAAGAATCATTTTGGTGTCTCTGTACCCCTTGTTGCATGATCAGCAACAGGCTAATGCCTCTGTTGCTACACCTGGGACCAGCAGCACAGGCATCAGCTGGGCCAGCTCTCAGCATCCCTAACTGCGAACCAGCATCTCCTGTCACTGCCCTCCACTCTGTCTCCAAAAGCTTGGCTGTGGCTCGCTGCTCTCAGCAAAGCTGAAAACCAAGGAAAACTGTTGTGTATGACACCTCCCAATACATGAACCCCTATCATCCCAAAGTAGAAGGGGGAAGGGGCCATCTGGGGCTCACAATTTGGGATGGGGACATTTCTGAGGTAGACAAAAGTCTTCCTTATCTCCTTTAAGAATTAGAAACAGATTGTTCCATTCACAGTACAGATGATTAAGTCAATTATTCTGAATATCTGTACTGCAGGAGTTAATGCTCTGTGGGTTCTCTGATGTCTAATAAACACTAAGCACCAGCTGAAGCCATCCTCTCAGTAGGACAAATTAGTAGCCTGTTAATTGCCCTGTTACATGAAAACAGTTTTCGTGAAACTGAGGGTACATAAAGCTTTTGAGACCTCTGTCTGGCACATTTGTTTAAAATGGGTGAATATAGTCAAAAGTGACAGAAGAGCTAGACACTGTTCAGTCATTGCAATGTCATTCCTTCAGCCTTACCTCCTTAGAAAGAAAAAAAGAACATTAGTTTCCACCAGAAGGGTTCAAAGGGCTCTTATGGGTGTTTGGGGTTTTTTAAATAATAGTTTTACTCTTTTACAACTCAAACCTGAGTTTTGCTCCTTCTAACAGCCTTTTTCTAAAGGAAAAACACTCACAAAAAACTCTCAGAGTAGACATTCATCAACATTGGATGATACCTATTTCACCCTGTAGGGATCTGCCTTGCTTCACCCACAATGGAACTGGACATTCAGTTACCATTGATAACTTGCTGTGTGGGTTGAGAAGCACTGGGCACTTGAGTGGAGCGAGAAGCTATAATGCAGGGAAACAGGCTGGGCATAAAAGGACAAAACATCTGAAGGAAGCATCATTTTACGCTATCCTACCAAGGATGCATCTATCAGTATAGGGAGAAGGCTAGCAACTTTTTAAGACTAAAACAGCTCAATTTCCCTTGGAACTGAGGCTGTTATAGGCAGACAGAGCTTTACCAGCGTAGTTGCAAAGCATTCAGAGCTCGCCTGCCCTCACAGGCCCTCAACTCGACCAGAGTTGAGAACATTACATGACATGAAAGGATGTAGGCAAAAAAATCACTTTTATCACTGTAAGCCGGTGGGGTCTCTCCCCTTACACTAGTTTTTCTCCAGCCCTTTTAAACCATTTCCTCACTCAGGTAGCCAGGTGCTGGCGCACTTGCCCTGCCATAAAGGAAAGCTCCCACAGCTCGCTCCAGAGCCCCACTAGCCTGCAGAGGCGAGGGCAGCCCACTCTAAGTCCGTTCCCCCACCCCGGGCACCGGCCGGACCGAGCCACCGAAACATCGTACGCTCAGGAGATGCTGGACCGGAGGCGCCGGGGGTCTGGAACTGGCCCCAGCACCTGCGGTCCCTGGATTCCCTTAGCTTCCCGCCCGCAGCCCCAGAGCAGCGGGTCTCGGGGCCAAGAGACCACCTGCCCAGGCCCGCTGATTGGAGTTTCTCCGAGGCAGCACTTGCTCCGTGCCGGGTTTCCTTGTGCTTCACCGGGAAGGGGCTGCTGCTGGGACTGTACTGCAGGAAGGTTTCGGGAAAATTATAGGGAACAATTAACTCTTTCAGGCTACACAAAGAGGGCACCGGAGGGCATCCTTTGTCGCCCTGGGTGGGGAATAACCAAGTTTCGGTCACTAGAACGGGAGAATAAGGTGGGAGAGGGGATTTGAAAGGGCGCTCCTTACCTAGCCCAGCAAGCTTTAGATGAGGGGACAAAAGGCGGCAAATCTCTGTCAGGCGAGAAGGCAGCCGCAGAAGGAACGCCCTGGAGATGCCCAGAGGCTGCGGGGAGGAACCCCGCGCTGCCACGCTTAGTCGCCTCTCCCCGGAGCCCGGCGGCACAGGGCTGCCCACGGGATGCGGAGCAGGAGGTGCAGGTTGCCGAGCTCCCGGGGCTGCCCGAGTCCGGCGGCTCCCAACAGCGGGTAGCGGGCGAGCCAGCTGCAGCTGCGGCTGCGCTCCGGGGGTGACCGCGGGCTCGGCGTGGGGAGGTCGGGCTGCAAGACTGCGCTGCAGCGCGGTGCGAACGGCGACAAACGCCGCTGTAGCAGCGACCGCCTGCTGCCAGCCGGCGTTTGTACAGACCCCCCTCTCACATCCGCGCAGCTCCCCGTGCGCTCTCGCAGGGGGTACGAGGTGACCGGTGGTTCCTGCGGGGTGACCACTTTGGCTCAGCTCTGCCCTGATAGAGGGAAGATAGATCACGACAGGGGATAGAAAGGGAACCGAGCAAACCGTCTGTTTCTCATTTCTTGTTAACTTTAAAGGCTGTGTTTTTAAAGTGGAAATAGATACGCGTATTTTGCAACCCAACCAGCTCCCTACAGACAGAACGCTGCTGAATGCTTTCCCCCAGCCGATCTCAATCTGGGATAAGTTTGGCAGCTGATGGCTTTGACCAGCCTTCTTTTGAAAAAAAAAGCGAGGGAGAGCGGGAGGGAGAGCCTGCCTGCCTCCAGCTCACCGCAGCACGGCTCGGGGCTCGCCAGTCCCCCATATCTGAGCAGCGCTAGGAGAGAGAGCCCGGAGAAGCTGCAGCGAGAAGGGAAAGAGCGGGGCTTGCCACGGGACGGCATCTCCCGGCCGGGCTGGCTCCGCAGCGCTCACAGGCAGGAGCGGAGGGGAGAGCGGCAGCTCACTTACCCTCCGAGAGAGAGAGAATGGCCAGGGCCAAGGCGAGCAGAGTCAGGGCGCGGAGGTCCATGGTGAGGCGGCTGGCGGGGCGCAGGGCAGGCGCTGCACTGCTCGTCCCGGCGGCTGAGCGCTCTGCTGGAGTCCCCTCCTCCCCTCCCTCTATAGAGGGGCCGGGACCGCCGGGGCTGGGGGAGGGGAGCCAGGGGGAGTAGCTAACCTATGATTTATTGCCCGTGGCATGTTATTACATCCTTCCTCTGTTAAAAATGCTTGGACAGGAACCAAAAGAGCGAGGGCTTCTCTCGGCACTCCGTCAGCCTGGCAGTCTTCCCCTAGGCAAAGCGCTTACCCCAACAGCCCCACGACCCTAGCCCCCGTGGGACGGCAGCTGCAGTGCCCTATCCCCGGGACACCCCACACCTCCCCTCACGGCTGCGGCTCGGTGGGGAGCCGGCATCAAGGACACTCCATCTAGCCCCAATAGCGGGGGAAATGTTTTCTCCCCCAACTATGCCAACCACGGTCCTTTCTAGGCACCCCGGCCGCTCTGTTCTTGAACCAGGGCTGCTAGAGCTGGGACAGCTGTGGGGACGCGCCTGTAACACCTCAGTATTTACACCGGGATGAGAAAAATCCCCCTTCACTCCCGTGGGCGCGAATTTAGACTTACACTGGTGCTCTGGACATCAGATCCAGAGCCTCAAACGAGGCATCTTCCCAGATTTATCTTCCCAGATTATAATAGAATATAAAGATAATATCCCCAGGTTTATGTGGGCATTTGGGGGAAGGGGAGGAGGTAGGAGACGGATGCTTTCAGTTTTTGCCTCCGCATGCTTGGCTCGGAACACAACCTTTTCCCCGTATTAGCCGAAGCGAGTTGTATGTCTGCTGCCACATTTCGCCTCCTTTGTGTTGCAGATGCCTCTGGGCTCCCTGGCACCTCGGCTGAAAGCCCCGACGGCGCGGCTGAGCCCGGAGATCCGAGGGGTGCCGCTTACTCTGAGCCAGTACAGTATTGTCAAGTGTAATTGACTTAAGCATGTCCTCCCTGTCTGCAGTCCAAGCCCACGGGGCCCTGTTTGTTGCTATTCAATACTTTAAATAAACATCGAGGTTTTGGTTGAATTTGGACCCCTCAGCTACATTTAAAACAGGCTCCTTCAGACAGGACAGAGAAGGGATGAGTGGGTAGAGTGAATCCTGGTCTGGAGACCTTTAAGAGACAGGTCCCAGATGCCACCAAAGACAGCAATGCAGTCGGTTTACACCCCGGCTAACTTCACACTCTCAGCCACTGCTCATGAGGCTGAAAACAGGGCTCCAAACCATGCATCTGTGCTAATCTGTGGCTGTTTCACTGAGGAGAGCTTGTTTCTAATGGTCACTAGAAAAGCTGGAGCTGATACTGGGCCATGAACTGGCTCCCTCCCTGGCACACGCATTCAGCTCCCTAGTTATCTAGTTATCTGTGTATCTGTATGTCTTTGTCCCTGCTTACCAAGGAGTACTGAATTTGTTTAGGCTGATCTTGTTCTCCCTCCTTTTCTTTGTAGTAAGCTAGCACAACAGGAATCTGATGCTTAAAGGGCCGATAATTGTAACTCGTGCTGTGAGCCTGGGCGCATCTGGAACGTGACAGTTGTGATATTCTGCAGGATGGGAAAGGCAAATCATAATGCCACTGCAAATACTGCTAGGAGTGCTGCTGTCCCACTAGTGGCACACGGGGATAGCCACACGGCACTTAATATAAAAGAGCAATAGCATGAGTGTGCTGATGCTATTGCCACAGAGAAAACCAGCCCAAAGTTCTAATCAAAGTGACTGGATAGATGTGGAACAAAATCAGTGTTAAATTTGAGTAGCAGTCTCTCCCTCGGCATCCCCAGACATGCAGATGTGTTGTAACAGAAGGTGAAAACTGGTTGGATGCTAGGAAATACATGGACAGAACTTCAGAGCTGAATCGAGCAGCATGCAGATGCGAGTACTCTCACTGCGCCTTTGGGTAACTGTGATCAGCTTCAAACAGGCTTCTCACCCTCTTCCTCACAGCGCAAGGATGCCCTACCTCCCCGTTCTCCTCGGCTGTCCTTCCTCTCTGCCACAGCCGCCCCTCTCCCGAGAGCAAGTCTCCTGAGAGGAAGGGGGTAGGAGCACCGGGACACCTTACCCGGCAGCACCCCTCTCCGGCCGCCCCAGCACCGAGCTCCGGCGCCGACTCCGCCGCTTCCCGGCATCGCTGCGCAGCGGTGCAGTGAGGAGGCACGGAGCTGCCTCCCTCTGGCGGGACAGGCCCGGGAAAGGGAAGCCCGGCGATGGGGTACCCGAGGCCCGGGTGCCCGGAAAAGTCCCAGGGAGTAGTCCTGGCACCGGAGGAAAAGAGACCCCGTCGTCCCGCTTCAACGGGTGCCGGATGAACCGCTTGTCTTTTGCGTTCCGTTTCTTTCCCCTCCAGCATGCACACACCTGCATACACCCAAAGGTATGTTCTCTATTGCAAAGAAATCAGAGAGCAAAGCAAGTTTCGCGGTCATTTTGCCAGGGCGACTTTACCGGCCCAGCGCAGCATGCTCTGTTTCCAGCCCTTCCCGCGCTGGGTATCCTCCCGCGGACGAGTCTGGCTCGGGTCGGAGGAAACCCAACCCCGCATAGCCCAGGAGCTCTGAGAGGGGCGGGAGACCTGATCGAAACACTGCCCTGTACGGTGGGGATGCCTTCACCACTTCCCCGCTATGTTCCCGCTGTCGGGATGGAGACCTTCACTCAGTGACCGAGCTCTTCTGAACTGTCAGCAGTTTCTATGAACGGTGATATTTTTTTATCCTCATCAAGAACAAATTGCTCCTACGGTACAATGCTTCTGAGTTTAAGACTTAAACAGCAACAAAACAAAAAAAACCGGCTTTTATGATTTACACCACCAGCACCCCCTCAACTAGAAATATGAACTCAGGGAAATCTAAACACTTGGAAGGGAAGTCAAAAGAGTCGTCAAGTATTACATTGCTTGAAAAGTTCGTTTCAACTTAATGTTAACTCCCACAAAACTGTCCAGTGTTTATCTGAATGCTCAAAAAACCCCGTCTACATCCCTCCATGAGCAGGGTGGATGAACAACACCCCCACCCTCCCAGCCAGCTGCAGCCAGAACTCCGTAATAGCCAGTAAATTTAATCTTTTATCTGAATGCTAACAAAGAAAGGACGAATTCAGAAACCTTAAATAGATCTACTGTTGATTTCAACACAGCTTGGGACAGCCTTTTTTAAAAACACCATATTCCAAGTTTTTAGTGTGTGTGTGTTTCAAATTACATTTCCTCTTAAACGAGGAGATGGCAACATTTCTGTTGCTTAGAATTTTAGACTGGCATAACCCAGGAATGAAATCATTATTATCTGAAGTTGTTTTAAATCCCCACAGATCATGTCTCAAGTAAGCCATTCCTGGCCAGTAAAACACAGTTCGTTATTATTAAGAAACTTTCTTTGTGAGTTAGGAATTAAACTAAATGTCCTCCTCAAAATAGTGCCCCTGTTTTCATCTTGTTCTTACTAATACTATTTGACTGTGATCTTCTGTAATATTTCCTAGGCTTATTATCTGTAACTAAATGCATTATTTTTTTGGACAGCCATAGTGTTCACACAGAATCTATGTTTAAATGGAGTTCAGATTAACAGCAAATTGCTCCATCTCAGCAATTTGAAGTAAAATACATTACAAACCAAGCATGTTAATGCCAGGAAACTCAGGGATCTGGAGTTAAGGATAATTACATTTAGAAATCTGTATGTATTAGGTTGTGGGACTGCATGATTAAGATACCAAATCAACCTTATCTTTGCCTTGTTGTAACATCATCCATTAGCCCACATGATAATGACTACAGCAGTTTAGTATCTCTGCCTCTAGATGCAGCTCTCTTTCTCTTTTTCTTTTTTTCTCTTTATTTTTAAATATATATTTTTTAAATCATGCTTAAACTGCTTATTTGCACACAACATGATGCTGTGATGGGAAGGAAAAAAAACAACAAAACCCTAAATGTTAAAATTGACATTAACTATTGCATGGGTGCAAATTTAAGAGTGCTTGGACATTTGAAGTGTTCCAGTATTTCTATGTGTTTATAATCTTTTGTAACTTAACTCTAAATTCTCTGATTTATCAAGGCATCTGTATAAAGTTTTTCTTCATTCACTGACTATATGCCCTTAGATTTACTTCCATCTTACTCTCATTCTTGTTTTGCTTAAGAATTCTTTTCCAAATAGTAGACTTATTATAGTAGTCTTATTCTCGTGACATTCTTATATGAATACTTTTACCCCCAAGACTGTTAATCAGGTGAAAGCTTGACGGTTTTCCAGTCTTGCTGCACATTCAGGCAGCAGCTAGAAAAGGACAACCCTGGAGTGGTCTGAAAATCTTTCTTGACTCTTGTCTTCGAACCTTCTTGTTTCAAGTGCTAAGAAAATTTTCCCTTCCTGTTGCCATGTCATGGTTCCAAGCTCATCCTTTACATGTGTAGCAAACAGGACTTTTAGTATTAAGTATTTACAACAAAGCAGTATAAACTGAGTGGTTTGTTGGGTTCATCTGCTCTGGAGAAGGAAAAAAACAATTCCCCAAATAGCCAGGCTTCAGGTAGACTTGCAAGAGGTCTGTTCTCATTGCAGTAAAATGTTCATGTATGCAGACATATCCATAATGTGTGTTGGCCCTGAAAGATTCCTTGGAGGGCAGAGGGAGAGATCAAATGGAGGTCAAGTGAGTAACTGTTTATAGATGGTTAACTAGAGTGACAGAGAACTGTGGTAGCTGCTTTTCTAACAGTGTTTAAAGGTTTAATCTTGCTTCCCTGGGAGTTCTGCATGTGATTTGAATGGATGTGAAATTGGCCCTTAAGGGCAGAATCTATCTCTCCTCTTATCCCAGCAGAGCACATCCCAAGTTGATCTAACCTTTTCATGAAGAAACTTAAAACGTGATAGATTTTGCTTGGGTTTAAGTTTTGTTAGGAACATAGCTCTTGGTCTCACTGTGAGGCATTTTCAGAAAGCTTGGGGTAAAGCAGAGCCAAGTTTGGCGTGTTCTGCCTCTCCCCAAGCACCACACCAACGCTGTGGAGGGGATTTTATTCCAAGAGTGTTTAAAACTGTGTGGCTTTGCTTGGGTTTCGCTTGGAGTGTTCAGGTTCATTGAGCTTGCAGGCCACTTCGGGGAACTTAGACCTCAATAATAAAGGTTCACTATTCCCGGCAAGAAGAGGCACCTGGGAGTCTTGGCCAGGGCCAAAT